AGTTGGCTGCGAACCGATATTTGAATCGTCCATAGTATAGGGATTTAGCATGACAGTGAATAGTCAGAAGAACGCTTTTTACGGCCGCTCCCAGTGAAGTTTGTAACTCAGTGAAGGATCACGATTCTTCTTCGCTTCGATATCACTTTTGGCAAGGCTTATTCGACCGCTAATGATCTTAGATCCTCATCTAATGAAATATATGTATCCGCTTCATTGATAACGCATTTAATCACTTGCCTACGTGATTTTTGGGCGGACGCACAAACGGGCATACAAACGGACACACAAAGTTAGCGGTTTATATATATCATGGATATTTCTACTTTTTAAAGATCTTTCTACTGAAAACATACAACCAGGCATGAGGAAACTGAATACTGCGTGCTCCCTTGAAATCTTTTTCTTTTGCATATTTACAGATAATAACATGTATCACCTGTATCACCTGTCGCCCCATCGTTCATCGACATCCTCGAACGGGCGCCAGTAACGTCTCCATTCGTCCCCGTCACGAGTCAGAGTGGTCCAGTGAATCGTCCTCGCTTTAGGGACACGAGGTCCAACATTCCTTTCGTTCAGAGCTTTCGTGAAGAAGTCTGACCATCTCGTTGGCGGCCGTCCTGGTTCAGCGGTCATCACTGTATCGCATAACGTGTTCGGCCCACCTTATCTTCGATTTCTTGGCGTAATCAACGGCATCCCAAATCTTCGCTCGATGACGGAGCTTGGAACTCCGGATTCCCTTCTGCATTTGTGTGTATAGAGAAATTCCGAGCATCGCCCTTCCCAGAGCGCGCTGAATAGTGCTGACAGCACGCCCATCCTGCTTTGTCAAAGCAGGATGGACCGCAATATCGAAAAGGTGGGCTCGGAGCGGATGTTCTTTTTCTTCACTACTCCCTCTCAATAAGTTCTCCTAAAATATTCTCAAGTTAACAGTAACAGATAATAACAATAACCATTAACATCATACTCATATTTTTGCTTTTGATTTTTGGAGTATATCTACGTTCCGCACTGATTTGGACAGTTTGATATCATACCGGTGCTTTTTCGAAGAAACATGTGGCCTCTAATGAATTCTTCCTTTGAAAAGAATTGGTGGTGAGAAACTGCTCGTCATCAGAATCCATCAGTAGCTGGCTAGAATTCAAGTTCCGCATGCCATCATCGTTACCCTTATCCCGAGTTTGTAAATAAGATAAAATTCAACAAAGCCCAAGCCAGAATTTTAAAAATAGTCGTCCTGGATCATGTAGGGGGAAGTGGCCATTTGGCGCGATCCCTCCGATCGCGCTGCCTTTTCACGCGGTTTGCGAGCAGGACAACTCGTCCAAGTGATCGAGCGACCCACTGTCTTTCCAACTGATAGAGGCCCGATCGATGACGACTATAAGACGCCGAATTGTGGATCTGTTTGTATTCTCCCTGTCTCTTTCGTCTATATGGCTTTTTCATGGAGCGTGGACGAGTTGTCCAGTAGGCCACATGTGGGCTGCAGTCCGCTTTTCCCGCCAAACGTGATTGTCGTCGATGGGTTAAACCCCTTAAAGCTTCACCCTCAAAGTCTGAAATGGCATGACGCGGTTTCAGGATACGAACCTACGTGATTACCGAGTGAGACAAAGTTCGTCAGTTTCAGAAATGGGCTATACCTAATGAAAGGTGCAAATTTTTTCTCGCCTACGATGCACTATTCTCCACCAACACTTCCACTTTTCGTCTTGAAATGAGTAACTCCAAATTATCTCGAACTGTTCCTTCAAATAGTACTGCAATCCGTCAGTCCCTTTCTATAAACTTTAGCTTTTCTCCCTGTATTTGACCTATTCCGCTCTCCGTTAGTCTCGATATTGCTCAATGTTGCATCCAGAGAGGCGAACAGTTGATGTTGCTTTTTGATGCTAGCCATATCGTTTCATAATAGACTGAACTCGTTTTCGCTTACTGCCCCCTATCGATAGGGAATTACTTTTCGATAGATTTTGTTTTTTTTTTCGATTGAAAGTCAATCGATTGATCCTAACGATATTTATCTACCCGCTGAAATAATATAGTCTGGTTCCGGAAAGTTTTTAGAACCTCCAAACTCACTCACGATTCACTTTAGCTTTCTTAGCTTTTGTCCCACAAAATCCACAAGTTTTCATCAGCAGGGAATATTTGACAATTTTTTGGTTTGAGTTGCCAAAGCGATTTATTGGGAAACACTTCAGAGCATATCACGTAGATTTTCTCTTGTAGAGGCAAAGGGCGAACACTGAACTCTTCGGCGTCGTCTTGTTGATAACGCCATTACATCCGAACTGTGCCCCGTCTCCCAGGGCACGGATCTGAAAATTTACAATGTGCCCAAGCACCAGAACACAAGAGCTGGGAATAAAAAATTATGCCAAATGATAATCCGTCACTCAACCCATTACGTGGTCCCATCCGTTGACGCTTCCTAGAAGCTAACATAAGAAGAGTCGTAACTTGGGAGTAAATTCAAATGTGAAAGGAGAGATTTAGGGTGAGAATTGACTCAGGGAAACGTACTGAAGTTAAAGGCTATGTGAGAACTTTTCTGTCTCCTGATGGTAGTAGAATAGGGAAAGAAAACTTTCAATAGAGTTTTCATCTTTGGCCTTGTTCTCGAACAGAACGACGGAAACTTCCGCTCCGGCTCCGACTCACCTCTTCTCGTTTCCTGTCGAGATTTCTTTTGAACATTGTTATCATTCTCAGCGCAATCGGTTTTTTCGTACTGGATATTTTTCTGAACTCCCAAAATGTACTTATAGTGAAAATTCAAATCTAATAGAAGTGTAGAAACGTACTGATCCACTGCAATCTTTAGGTCAGCTTCGGCTTGTCCTGGAGACTTTGAATTTTTCAGCGCTTCCTCGACCAAGTCTTCATTCCATTCCTACAACACATAGTTTTGATGTGGGATCTAAGATATTCGGCCAAGCTTATTAAAAAATCTAACCAGCGTTTCGCTATAATCCATGTTGAGTTCCATAAGTGCCTCTAAGGCAACCTGTGGTAGCTGTTCTTCTAGGCCTGAAAAATGTGCGCTTATATGAATTCTTGAACTACTTCGAGCTGTTACCGGGAGACATTAGGGAGTGGGACATCCGTACAATGCCCCTGATTCAGAGCGCTCACCTTGAACGGCGACAGATGCCAGGAGGAAGGCGAACACTGCGACGATAGATGACATCTTGAACGTAGACTGACTCTTCTGAATCTCTCTTCCATTTATAGTCGATGGTTATGACGTACTGCAGCGGCACCTGCCTCGATTTTTGTTGTAATTTTTGTTAATGTAAATACATGTGTTTGCCATCAGCACTGCTCCTGTCATGCTGCTGCTGCCATGACTCCTTGTATCTTCTACCAACGAGAGTTGTTCTGTCGGAAGATGAGCCAGAGCAAAGGAAACACTGGATTCACCTTCTGATGAAAAATTGTTTCATCGCATCAACTGGAAATTCCTTTATGCCCACGTTTCTCCAGTGGGTGGAGGTAGAGAACGGTCGTGGTCTTTTTTGCCACAATCCTCGATTACTGGGTTGGAGTGTCGTGTGTCTCTTGTACTGTCGAAAGAAATACAGGCTAGATAGAAGCTTTTCTACAGAGGTATCTTCGTCTAAGGCTATCGGCTCATAACCATATTTTTGACTATTTTGCGGCGACTGTAATTTGTCTAGCCTAACTAAAAGTGTTAACTGCGAATGTCGCTTCAGCAGCATCCTTATTAGTCCCTTATCCGCCTCGATCGATGGCAGCTGAAATCGAGAAGTCGTAGCTGATTTGCTTAAGTTTTGAAGGAGCATTAGCACCAAAAAATCCATTACCAAATCCCCATGACCATATGGACAATCGTGGATGAGAAATGGGGGTTCTCAAACTGCCACATTAACGGTTAGATGATAGATTGTCCCAAGGTCTGAGTTGCAAATAGTGAGAGTTGATTTGTTTCAAGCGTGATAGCTAGCATTTCATTGGTTCCGAAACGCTCTTTCATGACTTCGAGAACGGTGAACTTGTCGGAACATTAGGCGAAAGAAATATTCAAAGCTGCACTCTGCCGGAGCATTGAATGCTTATGGGGCGACGAATTTCCAGCTTCATCGATTAGTCACGGCTTCAATGGTTGGTAACTAAAAGACAAAACAAACCATTAAGAATACCATCCCACTACGAGGGAAGTCAAAAACTAAAAAAAATTTCATGAAAAGCTTGATTCCTGCGGATACTAGGAAACTGGAATCTTATATCCTACGCACAGTTTATTTGATACCGTGCATGAAAAAAAGGTTGGGCCGGTCTACAAAACATATGGCCATCACAATAAAAGACCAGGAACCCGAAGCGCTTGAATGTAAACCACATTGTTATGAATTAAATTGTTGAATTTTATGCTTATGGGTATTCCTTCCGATTCCTTTTACAGTATCTTTGTTTCTTGTCCTTTTAGAGTTATGCATAGGACGTAAAGTCATGGAAAGCTCTGAAAAAACTCTGCACGCTTCCTTTTCGGATCTACCTTCTCCACCCGAATCCCAATGGGAACTGGAACGTGCCTATGGGTATTCCTTCCGATATACCCTCTCAAGTTGCCATTTTTTATCGAAGTTTCCTTTGGCCCTGTGCTAATGTCACGATGCTGAATAGACGTCGAATGCTCTGGCGCTTGCCAAGGCGAAATTGATCATCGCCAACAACATAAGCAGAAGGCTATGCACTAAGAACGCCAATTTTCTATGAAATTAGGCAAAAAGGGCTCATGATCACTAATGGTAACGTAATGTGCACTGCTGTGCAGTGGAACTGAAAGCTTACTTTAGCCCTTATGTGAACTTCTCCCTTTTCGGGGAGAGAATTACGGCGATTTGTGTACAGATTCGGAAAATGCAGATTTCACAGTGTACGTGCGAGTCGATGGCATTTTCGCTGACCAGCAAGATCTTCGCCGATCAACTTCGGCCTGTTACGGCTATCTGCAGATGTCATCTACCGTCCGTTATCGTCATTGACACGACTTTTCAATGTTTCTTCTACGACGACTGTTTCTCTTCCGTCTTCACCTCCCAATGACTCTTTGCTCATTTTGGCCCTTCTTCTGAGCAAACATGATCATTCGAGAATGGTGTGGGCTTCCTCGAAGAGTTGATGTCTGTATCGGTTTATTGATTGATTGACAGATTCCCAAAGGAGCCCACGGTTATTCCGAAAGCAAAAGCATATCATATCGCCTTTTTATTTTTCTTCCATATGGCCTGAGATAGCAAAACAACAGTAGATCCATTACTGTTTTAAACAATAGGGTCATTTATTATTGAGTCAGAGAGGTCTGAAAAGGATTGAAATAAAACATTCTGAGTGGCGTCATTTCGGAACACTTTTATGAGGTTGTTTCATGTTCAATAGAACTTTCTTATTTTTAGGACCAACAGTTGAAATATTAGTACTTCGAAAAGGTTGAACATCTGCTTGTATATCAGTATTTTGCTTCTCAAGTCCCAGTAAACATAAAACATAAACACCAAAGANATAGATTTAGGGTACCCTTTTTTGACGGGAATTCATAGAACTACTCTAGAATAAAGCGATAACAACGAAAAAAGCGCAAAAAACGATGAACAAAAAGAAATAGAAAGGGTCAAAAAAGAGCTGAAAAGGGGGATTGGACGAGTTTCACATTGGAAGAACGGCGGTTAAGGGAGTGTTCGGGCGAGTGCACGAAGGCGACGCAATGTCTGCAATAGCAGAAAACACACCCAAGCAGACACATCGCTCCAATGGGGTATGGGTACTTGCGTGCGTCCGAGGATGCGCGCGGCAAATTGCGCGGCGAAGTGCATGGTGATTCGAACGACTCTGGCGCCTAGCATTGGGGCCCAAACTCGAAGTAGAGTAGTTTAGTAGGGTCAGCTGATACTACTGACCTACTCTACTTCAAATTTGGGCCCCAATGATAGGCGCCAGAGTCGTTCGAATCCCCACGCACTTCGCCGCGCAGTTTGTCGCGCGCATCCTCGGACGCACGTAAGTTCCGTCCCCCCTCCAATGCGAATGTGGTGAAGGACAATTAGAACTCGTAGTCAGCCTAGCGAGGGGCGGAGGCCTCCCGTCCCCCACTGTTCCTGCCCTTATTGTGCCCTATCCAGACCGTTTTCCGACCTCATTCCTGCACAAATGGTATCAGAGGGCGCGTCGAATTCAAACCATGTGCAGATCTCCGAAACCATTTTTTCGTGAACAGTGCCTTTAATATTTAAGAGTAAGTGATGCATGGCGCAGTCCAAATCGAGCTTAGCAGTTAATTCTTATTTTACAGATTCCCAATTGCAAAATCCAGCTAAGTGTTAAAATGAGAGCTGTGAAATTTTCACTTCTGAAAGTGGAGCCTTTTTCGGAATGGATGAATAATGTAGGAGCGATTCAAATATAGGAAGCTTTTCAAGAAAAATTATATGCAAAAGGGCAGATTTTGGTGAACAAGTACAAGTGTAGCACTTAGTAATTTTTCTTTTTTTCTGATTTTTATGGTTGAATGTTTTTTAAAGAGATCTCATTATCAGATATTGATGATAATTCTTAAATCGCGTCCATAAATCCGCGGGAGCGGTAGTCCATGTGCACTGAACGTTCTCTAAGCTTTTGCTGATAATTGGTATTCCAATGAGATGGTGCTAATGAGTGCGGGACTATTAGCGACGAGCGACGTCTGGCATTTCCTGAGGTTCTCCGTAAGTGCAAAGGAGGAAAAGGAAGAAAGAGACAAAGAATAAATGACTTTGACGTAGTAGTTGGCCGATTAATTAGAAGCGTAGTTGAAGTTGTGGGCTTGTGAGTTGCCGAAGGCTTATGCTCCTGCTCATGCTGTCTTCTTTTTGCTGCGATTTCGAGGATTAACATTGCGATGTCATTACTGGCTTCTGCCTATACTTTAAAATAAACAGTAGCATTTACGGTATACCCAGGCGGTAGCTCAAAAAAGTACGAGTTTTCCGGTATTGGTCCTGAAGAGATTTTCTGGTCAGTCGAAACAGCAATAATTTTGTTAACATTATTGTTCATTTGGTTGTTCATGCTTTTGGTGTAGAGTCATGTTGCACCTATTTGATCACATCTCTCTAGGGAAGCATTAGAGAGTGTAAATGATTTCCTTAACGGTGCAAATCCAATGAAACCCATCCAATCACTGCAGCAACTGCGCCGTAATAGGTGGTCCCCCCAGGTAAATGCTAAGCAGAGTTCGCGATTTTGTCGAGATATCTGAGAGCTATACTGCTTCTTACATTTCATTCGCTTTACCTAGAATCCTATAAAAAATCGGTTACCATTAAGCGCATGAATCATTAAATCGGCGTCGTAATGCGTTTTTCCCATGCCCTAGACGGCATTGGATCGTCTACATTTTTCGAATTAATCCAGAACCTTCAAATTACTTGTAATCTTTCTCTCTTAAGCTCAACCTATGCTCGAATGAATGGCACGTTGAACTAATGTGATTCAATGGGTTGTTTTTTGTTTATTTGGGTTTGAAAAGTTTTTTTGTGATGATATTGTTCTGTTCAACTTTCATTTTTTACAATCTTATAGAAAGCTTACTTATTGTCAGTTCATCAGTCATTGTTACGGAGCCCTTCTCGAGGAGGTTTTATAAATTGGGGTAAATGACGTCTGTTCGATTTTCGCATAAATGAAGCTTTTACCGACGCCGCCCTAATCTCCATCAGTATAACTTGTATTGGTAAGGGCAGTGTGGCAGATGTGAGGTCGCTCCACTAAAGAAAACTGATCCGAATTGAGGATCTCTGTTCATTCTTTCCATCCCTAACCGTTTTGCTGCCTTCCCTTCTTCTCCTTCTTATCTTTACGCAATCCTCAGATGAGTAATTTCTCTGATATGAAAAGGCTTTGGTTGTTCAATTATTCTGACTTTGTAACTACAGCTGTAAAGGTACCCAAGCCCAGCTCGTAACTGTAGGATTTTGGCGGATGTTTGGCACCTTCCCACCTGATGGCTAAGGATTTGTTTCCTTCTTCTCCTTGGCTTCATCCCTCGTTGTTGACTCAGCTCCCATTTTTTACGCGAATTTCAACTTGAAGCGCTCCTTACGAATTCCTTTGTCCACAGTCTTCGCATAGCCTCCGATGTTGTCTGTTCGAAGAGCAACAACAGCAGCAAACCCAAATTTTTGTTTCACATTGCTTAGTACTGCACTCAAATTCTTTATATAATTGTAATTGGAATACTTCTTTAGAGCGAATAGCATCGCTTGGCAGCACGAGTGCGCCATGCATCCAACTTCACCATCCATTGAAGTTTTGATGTTCTGTAGCAATCTCATGACAGTTTTGATGTTTTGTAGCGATTGCTGAGGCTTGACGATTCTTCTCCCTTCTTTGCAAGAAGAATACAAGTTTACTACTGAGTTCATAGGATGATTCGATTTAATTTGTTATGGGATCGTTTGTCCCTCGAGGATGAGCCATATATTCGAGTTCAAATCGCCCTCTATAGATGTTGCTCTAGTAATTTGGATTGAGCAGCTTCATTCAAAATATGTGGATGTTTATTTACTTGTTTGTTGTTTATTTGATGGTCATAGGAGGCTAGAATTCCAATGAGATTCAAAGTGAATTGAAAAGCTCGTGTCGATCTAGACATGTAACCAAGGAGCTTCTCACTCAAGCACAAAAGAACCTAGGGCTCTCTTAGGATTGCGTTACAGGAGGGGGATGGAATCTCCCTGGACTATCCTAGCCGTTTTCTCTTTTGAAGCTCTGCATCAGAGTCACTGCAAATTCATAGTCGGCAAGGCCAAACATCGATGTTCTTATTGAGTGCCACTTCAGAATGTATTATAAGAGTCGTATGACATCTTCTATTCAATTTTTAATTGTTCGACTTCAATTCAGTGCTTACGTCTCTACCGTAGAGCTTCTATACTTCCATTTCCTGGAGTTCTGGGAGGTAAACATAAGTGCGTCTCATTTGGAACTGCTGCTGTTTGAACAGATATTTCTCCTAGCCAGTGGTTCTTCGATAAGTCCTCAGCTGCTGGTCCCGTCTAAACTTTTTGATGATTGTGGTGTAGGAGTAAAAGAAGGATGTAGTAAACGGGACGGAATAGTGGGTTTAGGAAATGAAACGTCGATTTGAACATATGGTCCCTAATTGGATCCGCTAAAAAAAGAGCTTGCGTAGTTTCACGAGCATCAACAAAGCCATGAAAGCGGTACTGGCGTCTGGCTCTTAGCCACGTCCTTTTTTTTACTACTTTTTTATACTCTTCGTTTCTTTTTTCCGCTTTCTTTCTCTCCTTATCACTTTTTTTTCTATCTAGGGCGGCTTCAGCTAAGAAAAAACTGGACAGATAGATTAGGAATCGCTGAAGATTGGCGGAAGCGGATTGTTCTGATCTTATGAGAGTACAGCGCTCTATACCACAGAAAGACTTAATTACATATTTGTTTATTTATTTATTTTCTGATTTCCCAGTCATCTCTTATTCAAGGATTGATTGATCCAACTTCCAATCATCTAAAATGGCTTCTACTTCAAAGGATCTACGCCACGGAGAATCCTGATGGAGCCAGCTAGTGGGTACGGGAGCATAAAGGCTAAATTATTGAAATTTTTTTTGATAATCAGGGAATGGGTGGTTTTATCAAGTCATTCTTTATTTTGATGATATTGTTTTTAAGGAAGTTAGTTGGTATCAAAAGAAAATGTTTCCCTTAGCTCAATCCCCAATCAGCCAATCTGCTGTATTTCGACGATCGGCTATCAGATATCAGCCCAATCTACTCACCTTATCGCCTCTGATCGGATATTCGATCCGTATCGGACACAAAGACGACAACCACGACGGCGGTGTCCATGTGTGGCCGGGCCGGCGATATGAAGGGTTGTTGATCGATAGACGGTGGCGTAATGTCGGCTTTAAATTTATGGTTATATACTACTTATACCGTACTTTCTCCTTATATCGCTCTGGAACTTAACAATTTATCAGGGGTCTAACATAGGGAAGGGGGGGACATAGGAAGGTTTTGCACACGGCTGAAAATATCGGCTGAAAATGGCAAAACTACTGGATGTCAATGGGGGAGTGAAGTCTGTCAGTTGAACCCCAATGAGCTTCTATCTCATTTGTGTGTTTTGAGCTTACTCGCTCTTTCAGTGCTAGTTGATCTCAAGTGCCTTGGCAGGGTTATGGAGCCTGATTCTCTCCGTGACAAAGGCTTCTGGTGAATTCAAATGTCCACACTAAGCGGTTGTTTACATTTTCCTATGATCATTTTCCTATCGCTGTTATGATCAGGCAGTGCACAAAGTATCTGCTAAAAATTTCACAATAGTCCAGGTTTCGCCTGAGATTTTCTGGAAGTTCCCCCGGAAATACTACGGAAGGACAGTATTCCCTTGTATGCGCATAGCATAGAGGAGATTTCATGATATCTCAGTCAATTGACCGGATCAGTGCTCATCTTCGCCCTTCTTGTTTCCCTATCGAAAGCCCTGTAGTGAGATGTACACAGCAATGTTCAGAAGGCCCTCCAGTTCCGAATAGTTGACAGATGTTTCATTGGGATCCAGTAGCGGAATGTCCCGATTTCCTCACGTAAGGGAATGCGTGTCGAATATGGGTAGACAATTCTACCATTAAAGGATTTGATAAGCTACGAAGAGGTAGCCGGGTATGTTATTATATGGGTGGGTAGTGTCCATAAATGGAAACCCCATGGAGCTCCAAGAAGATCTCTGGAGCCCTACGGGTGAACTCTGGATGTGGGGTTTTCGGCCATTACTTAATGTGCAGTTTATTCTTAGCGTTAAATTAAAATACACATGATACCCGAATATGAATGCAAATTTCCCCAATAAGGACGCTTCAAGAAAAAGTACAGCGTGCAACGTCAGATGGTGGCCTGAAGAGCAATTTGCCCAGCATTTTGAGGCTCTGCTTCATAGTCGAGTGTTTCCGAGTGTTTCTCCGTCTTATCCGATTTTCTTCCTCACTTTGCACAGAATGATGGAGTGGAGCTGTACCACCGAATAAGCTGTATAGAAATTGTAATACACCTCATTCTGAGAGAGGTTCCTCCAGAAATTTCGTCAATTACGAGCAGATGCACGTCCGATCGAGGACCTCTGTACTTCGGGCTGGTACTGCCATGTTCTAGCCATTCAGTGTAAGAATTTTTTGGAACCAGTCTTTGTGTATGAGGTTCAGCAACGGCTTTCATCGCGTTCCAGTTGCATTTCGTTAGATGACATCACGATATGAGGATCTGTCGGTTTCATCGTCGTTTCCCTTGTTATCGTTTTCGCATCGCGATCGTTTACATACATCTATGTATGTGCATACGGAAACACTCGATGAGATATCCTTTTTGGTTATAGACAGCTCTGTTCTGCTAAAAGGGTCGTCTAGATTCTCTTTCTGAGCAGTTGGTCCCATTTATTATTGTGTTCCTCTAAAAGCCTACAGTGGGGCGGTGGTAAGGAGCATCGCTGCCATATGCACAGTTTGCTGAGCTAAAGGTCGTTTAGCATCAAACTTCCCCGATTTTAATGGAAAAGGAATTCTTCAGCAATTTCTGCGAAGGTTTACTGTGCAGAATCACCTTCTTCATTAAAAAACTTTCAAGAATCTAGAGATCACTCTCTCTTTTTCTGACCATAAGTACTGAGTTCGACCCCGCTTGCTCTCGCATGATCCACCTTGTGTTTGTTCGAACTGTATCAGTTCAAAGAACAAGCTTATAACGTCTAAGGCATGTCAGAATTCTATGGGGCAGATATAAACTCTGTAAGTGCATTTAAATGGATCAATAATTTCCGATGAATTCTGAATTGGTGGCGTATCCCAGAAGGATTTAAGTGACTGCATTCTTTCACATGAGAAAATCTTTTTTCCAACATTCTGGGAGCCCTGAACATAGTCTATATCTTATCGCTGCTATTTAGCCTTGCAAAATTTTTTAAAACTTATTCACTGACATTTCCGCTCCAATCGCTTTCTTTAAAGAATTTTTCAGCTTTATTTTCTATCATATTATTTGGAATAATACATCCACTACAATGATATTTGTTATTATATTTATATAAGGCAAAGTCGCTTTTTATAATTATTCATGTCTATGTATGGGTCAGGAAACGCCATCGTGACGTCTGTTCGAAAACTAGGTCGTAGCGTGCGGCGACCTGGAGGGGTCGAGTCAGAACCCTTATTGACCAGTAAAGACCCGTTGAGCCTGTAAATAATCGAAAAAGCGAGAGTTTCAGAAGAAGTGGGCTAGATGTGTGCAGAAGTCTTTCGTTTTTTTACCCTATTAGAACGTGTCAAACTTGTAAAAAACTGTGAAACAAATTGCACTTTTCTAAATTGTACAGGACTCATCAGGTTATGTCAGGTCTCAACAAAATGCACAGGTCTCCACAGGTTGAAAGGCAAAAAATGTCGCATAGGCGCAACTTCCTGAAGTTGCCGAGCGCGTAGACCCAGTTTCGATGCGCCAACGGCGATGGAGTCTCCTGATCCGAACCCCTACCAGTCTAACGGTTCTCAGAGGAGGCGGCTCCAGAAGCATCACCAAAGAAAATACTCCCCAACAGCCCTGAAAATCTTGGAACTGAACGGTAAGACTCGGTTTTTACGGCAAGATTAATCGCGAGTCACATTCAATCTAATTTTATGACTTTTTGAATTTCCATAAGATGAGTTAACCGTCGAGTATGTGTCGACTATGACAATGAGGTAGTCCTAATGTCTTTTTCTGCAAGTATATTTTGATTCATTTCTTCGCTTTCGTCTCTTTTTTGATATTATTTCTGATACGGAAATCTGTTTTTTAACCGTTACAATTTTCATTGTAACATTTTGAAAAGAAAGCAAATTTTGGGATCAAAAAGCCATAACTATCATAATTTTCATCTATTCCGATGCCGGTTTATCATTAGCAGATACCAAATAACTTCATAAAGAATTTTGAGAGCATCACTTTTGTATATCAGTCTATTATGCAAAATCTACCCTTCTCTAATGCGCCACGCATGCGATTCACATTGAAGGCCTCAGAACTAGTTGAATGCGTAACCGCTTAGGTTTCCATTACCAACATTCGTTTGAGACAGCCAGGTGCCACTACTTCTCCATTGAAAACTTCTGATTTACTGCAAAGATTATAAATCGAGGAGATCAGAAAATTGCGTGATCTAATGGCCCTACCATTCTGAGCTGAATGGAAAGGATGGCGCACTTCCGTAGTACTCGGTCAGGTTGAAGCNTTTTTTTCACATACATTGGAA